CTAACTAAAGTTGGGAGTAATGCTTTCTTTTTTATTTTTTTCTCCCTGGGTAGAACTTGTCTGAGCTTGGAAGCTAAGTATAGCAGATCCAGATAAGACTTGCCAGAGGAGTTAAAACCTTGCTGGAAAGAGACAGTGGCAAATCCCTTCCCTACCACTGTGAAGAAAACTACATGGGCTTTCCAGGAAGAGAGGAAGAGAGAGAGTTGGACTCGAATGAAAATTTCAGTGCTGGCAGCTTCCAGGGAGCCAAGCCTGCTTAAGAGGACAGCCTTTGGTTGAGGGGAGAAGGACCAGCTGAGACAGAACATCTGACTCGAGTGGATGAGCTCCTGTCCATTTAAGAACAGTTTTGTCCCCAAAAGCTTGGTTTAAAATCTGGGTCAAGTTGTGCCATCTCTTAGGTGTGGTCCTACCAAAGTGCTGCTTCCAAATAGATGGAAGATGACTCCCATCACTTCAAGTGAAGTATTTGTAGGACTCACCCCCCCTAATCTAAGACCTAATGTAGCGAGAAATCTGAATTTTGGTTTGAAAAGGGTATTTTTCTATGTTGCACTTGGCATCTAGCCTAGCCTAGAATAGTTTCCCATGTGCAGGGCTTTCTTGGTAAGGAGGTGTATTTAGTTATATAATACCCTGCCCTATGCATGGCTGCTGTTTGGAGATCACACTAAAACCAACAATAGGAAAACCCCAGTATGCTCAGTGAAATAAATCAATTGTACTATTGCTGAGGGGGTTGGCCTGATAAGGAGCTTATTTGGCTTGGCTTTTTAGCCACTGTGATTTGTAAACCATGAGTAATGGTTGTGGTAATGTTAGAAGGTGTTGCTTGGCACATGCTGTAGACTGGACTCTGTGCTTGAATAGGCTAGCCTCTTTTTTTCAGAAATAAATGTCCTGGCATAAACAAACGGGGTTAGGGTTTTGTCTGCACATAGAACTGTATTAAAAACTAGAAAAAGAAAATGAACCAAATCTCTAAGAAAAGACGACTTCTCTTTTATTTGAAAGTTGGATGCTTATTTTTGTGGACTTTCACACTGCTCACACATCTATTTTATACATATTAATGGAGAAAGACACCTAACAAAAATAATAGCTTCTGGAATTAGTAATTGTTTGAGAATTCAAAAACAGGACATGATCATTATTCCAAACTGGATAACTTGATGAAAGTATTGACTTCTAACCTTCAATTTTGCCCTTCTCCACGTGTTAAACTACAGTCTCCATTGTCTAGATAGTGTGGGCTGGAGATAATGAGAAAGTTGGTGTATAGAATTTTTATCTTGAATAATGCAAAGATAAGTGGCTAATTCAGTGAGATGGGGAGTTTGAGAGTCAGATCACACATTTGTGTACAATAGAGCACCTGTATTCACATGGAATGAAATTGGGGTCCGTGAGGGAGATGTCTAAGACTGCATGCAAGTAACCTCCAGATTTAACAAGTCAAAGGATTACCTTGGGGCACTTTTAAGGCTCCATCCCATCCCTGAAATCCCCACCTCTTAATGTAAAGATCTAGGGATTGATTACTGAAAAGATTTCTGCAATTGGCCTGAAATGTTTGCATAGTTCAGGGTTGACCTTTATCACTAAAACCCACTTCTGGTGCTCAAAAAGAGCTTTCATTTCTGTGGTATAAGGATCCAAACACTTACATTTTATTAAGAGGATGGCTTAAATGACTCCTTGTCTCTCTCACCTCCCACAAGTGTTTTCTATTTACCCGTTTAAGTAAACAGTGCTGCTTTCCTGGGGTGCCCATCTAAGAGCATCTTGTAGGTCATGAAAAGGTTGAGGCCCGGTTTGCAACTTCGCATTCTGTTAATTTCTTAAGAAACACAAGTTGCGGGGCCCCCGCACAAAAGGCGATGATTTAATGAGGAAAAGAAACAAACTGGCTGATTGTTGGCGCTCACAACTGCCTTGGGAGTCCCTCTGGCAGCCACAAGCTGAACTCTGTGCCTTCAATGCAGCGTGCTTTCGGGGGAGAGGCTGGTCTGAATAGAGGACAAAGACAGCTTGTTCTGTTTATTTACCCTGCCTACAAGTTGGGTTAACCTCTCCCAAACAGCCGGGTTAAGCCCGTTAGCTGCCCAGCCCAGATGAGCCGCTACTGCCGCATGGCCACTGTCATGCAAACGAGTCTTCTCAGGGCCACCCTCTCCCACCCCACCAAATTTATGCCAAGGGGCAGGCTGTGTGCAGCTGGAAGTCAAACCACTCTCCATCCATCGGGGAAATAAATCCTGCCCTATTCACTTTGCTAGACAAGATAGTTGACCAGAGGAGACACCCATCATTCAGATAAAAAAGGGAAAGAAAATTGCTTTCAATTTCAACAGGGACCAGGCTGACCCATTCCAAAGTAGTCCATAAAAAAAGAGGAAGGCTTAATCATCGGAAGCAAAAAAAAAAAAAAAAGGATTGATGCTAAATCAGCTGGGCTGAAAGGTGCTGAATGGGAAGATGAAGTAGCATAATTCCGGGAGCCTATCCAGGTGGGATTTCTTTAGTAAATTATGATTTAGCGTGAGATGTGAATACAGGCTGGAAATCTGTGATAGGAAAGTACATGATGGGACTTGATGCAATATGCTTTAATTTGAGACAGGAGATGGCTTTTCAAAGTCGTATCAATCAGAATATCATATAACAAATGATAGGGCTTATATTTGAGTCCTAAAGCATATCCTGCAGGACTTAATATGCCATTGGGGGCATCCACAAGGTATGTGTATCTGTTTGAAAAAGTCAGGATGGCTGCAATGGTGTGATTGAAGTTCCATTCCTCTTTATGTGAGTTAGGCAGGACTCCAGTTATGTAGTTAAATGAATCGTCATTACCCTCCCCTCCCTGTGAATGTCCCTGTATCCTATTTTACTAACACCTTAGCTGTGTTTGCATGAGCCGCAGAACCACTACCTGGCCAACCACATGTGGTGGGATCCATGGTTAGTCTAACATTCAGCTTGATATATAAACCCCAAAATGATCCCAAGTGAATTGGGACAGGTAAATACTGTATGTGAAGATAGTCACTGTCTCTAAGATATTTGTCCAATAAAGGTATACTCTTCTAAGGAATCATCATCATTTTGGTTGAAGCTGTAGAGAAGCAGTCACCCAACATGTGTTTTGCAGATTGGCTACTGGGCCCTATAGGATTTCTAAAAAAAAAAAGGAGGGGGTATTTTTTAGTTTCCACTCAGGGCTTTGTTTGAAAATTCATCATTGTGCTTTGGGAAAAACAACACAATAAACTATGATGTAGAGAGCCCCCCGGTGGAGGCTGGAAGGAGAGACTGGTTTGTTAAATGCCCCTTTTTATCATAAGACATGGCTATAAGTGCAGCTTTGCTGCAAATAGGTGAGCCAATTTATAAAAGTGCTCACAACATGGCCTCAACATTTTAAAGATGCCCACCACCAGTCCAGAAAGCTGCCTCTTCTGGTTTTAAGTGGCACCATGGAAAGCGAAGTAGATTAAATAGATTAATATAAGGGGAGTAGATGAATGAAGGACTTCTTAGATATAAATAGAAAGAAACACCATCTCCAAACAAACACCAAGTCATCTCAACAGTGTATTGTCTTTGTATATTTCAACAGAATAGTTCCTCTTAGGTTCACAAGGGGAATCTTTCCCAGCCATGGCCAGGACTGAACCAAAGGCTGCTCATTGCCAGTTAGATAAATCTCTATGTTCAGTTCTGTTAGAAATATCTCTGGTAGTTGAGCTGGAATGATCTTTTCTGAAGTGAATGAAAATGGGACACCAGTGCATGAGGACAATTTGAGGCTGAAAAATCGGGTATCCATTTGGTCTATGAACCTATAATTCCGCCACGAATCCTTCTAAGTACATACACAAACTGCAATTTTGGAGTAATCATTTTGAGGAATTATATCCAGTTTTCTTATTATAATTTAAAACCAGACTTTGTTAATATGCTCATAAAAGGCACAGTAACTACCCCTTTCCTTTAAGGTCACATTCAAAATAGATTTCTGCAGGGCTGAAAATGCTGTAATATGGCTATCTGCAGGGATTCAAGTAGCACTATCATTGAGTGTTAAGGAAAAAAAAGCTTTCTGAAATGTACAATCTCTAATTCCTTTGCTGTCACCCTTTGTGATGATACTAAAAGCAGTGTAGAGCACGTTGAAGAAAAACTGGTGGTCTGATTCAACAGTGAGGTGCATTTTAAAAAGCAGTTTTGATAAATCCCTTCTCCATAGGCACTTGGATTACAGGGACTTACCAAACTGCACATATTTATAAATCATATCCAATTGCACTTGAAAAAAAAGGTGTTCATTTAGGTGGGAAGAGATCCACATGAAAGTTGGCTCTGCACAGTGAAATGGGAAAACTTCTAATTATTTAATTTTCGAAAACATCTGAAAAAAATGTACAGAAGATGATTTGAACTCCTAATTGATGCATACAAATGTTTAACTACAAACTTCTTGAGAAGTTAAGTAAGCCATATTAAATGGTTTCGAGCTTGCAAATTCTATTGCAGGCAGCAAAATGCATTGTACCACAGATTAAATATTCTAAAAGCAATGCATCTTTAGACTGAAAGAAGCTAAGTTGGAAATCTAGTCAGAGAGGAGGTTCCATCTTTAAAAGTCATACAGAATAGTGCCAGAAGGTGTCTTTTATTATCTTCAGCAGGAGAAAATATGCCTTTGGAATGTTTGCTTTCAGTATAACTCTTAAAGCAACAGGAACACAAGTTGAGGAAGGAATGTCTATGGATCCCTTCAATACTGTATGTGTCAAGTCTCTGAAACTACCAAAAACCTCTCTTAAGACTTCTTGTTGTGTAGAATTTTAAGCGAAGAGAAGCTCTTTTCTCTTTTGTATAACAAAATATGCTTCTACGTATCCCTGAAAGATAAGGAACTTTTTCCTCTCTGGGCAACTCTGCTGTTCACATAAATTTTTCTGAGGCAAATATTAATTGAAGCTTGTTTGTCCACATCACTGATTGATTTTAATTGGTTGCTTTTCCAAAGGAAACAGGTTTGCTTTCAGGTCTGTCACAACTCATTTGTCATAGAAAACAGGCTTCAATCTTAGCATTCTCATTGACATCCAGTAAGAAGAATAGATCAAAGTTGTTGGACATGTATTCTGAATTTGATTGAAATATGAAGCGTTGCACTATCCTTACTCTTGGTATTATATAATTTTTCTTGAAGAAGCTCCTGGAATCACTCTGGGAAAAGGTTATTTAGCAGATTATTTTTTCTTGATGGCAGTAGCAAGTGTAACAATATTTTGGGCTTGTTTCAGTAATGGCATGTCTATCATGCTACCATGGAACGTGAAGGCACCCTGCAAAGGAAAAAAAAGAATATTCTTAAAAGAGATCTTGGGGGGAAAAAATGTCAGGCTATAGTTAGTCCTAATACATGTTTGTTAGCCAAGAATCAATCAAAACATCCCACATGAATCAGAGATATCTATTACTTGTGATGACCCGGGGCGTGGCACGAAGGTAACACAGCTAGAGAATAAGTCTATGTCCCTTTATTTGCTCCAACTTGCCTCCAATGTCCCGTTTACTCTCCAGCCTGGAGAAAAGCTCTCCCATGAACCTGCAGCAGCCTCTGGCTGCAGATACTCCAGTCCAAATGTTGTAAGCAGACTGACTGCAGTCAATCATTCCAGCAGGGCAAGATAAACGAGTCCAAGAAGAATCATGGCAATAATTCCAGCAGGGCAAGGTAAGCACACAGAAGCATGGCAATAATTCAAACAGTCAGGAGGAAGCCAGGAATGCAGGCCACAGCTCTCAACACTCGATGAATTCAGTGTTTGTTCCTGGCAAACGTCCCTCCCAACTGCCCCTTCTTTAAACTCCGTCCCCAGGTGTGCCTTGTGTAGGGAATCAGGACCATTTTCTTCCTTGTAAGCCACGCCACCAACATTGCTCTCTTCTGCGTTCTTCCCTGTGCGCCCTAGGATGAGGAAGGGATGGGTCTTGGTCTTCATCTGAACCCGCTCTCCCCTGTTCTACCTCTCCCCTGCTCTGCCCAGCCTGTCTTTGCCTTTCCCCAGTTTCCTCCACAGCCAGCGGAGCCACTCTCCCGCGCTCTGTCAGCTGTTCTTCTCCCTCAGATTCAGATTCCGAGGGAGGCATGACATTACCTGTGTTAGAAAGAGCCCAGGGATACAATGATAAAATAATTTAAAAGAAAGACATGCAAAACAAAAATGTAATAAAAATGAGCCAAAAGCTAAAATACATTAGTTGGGAAAGGAAAAGAGCTTTGGTTTGCTTTGCCTGCTTCTTAACCCATACCAGAGGGAAAGTTGGTAGCAGCATTTGGCTGATCTTGGTTGCTCTCAGAGAAGCTAAGCACAGTCAGGTCAGGTTCGGTCTTGAATGGGAATTCAGAAAATACCAGGACTGTGAAGTAGAATGTGAACTTGGAAAAAAAAAAGCCCTTGAAGACCATTGCCAACTACTTCTAAGTTGCTGCTGAAAAAGCAACATGCGCTTGTAGTTATCAGGAATCAAGCTTAAACCAGAGAAATATTAACTTTTTTCTCTAAGACGACATATTCTTCCTCTCTGCTCCTAGGAAGGACATAGGAAGACATAAACTGAGCTGCATGAATGACAGTAAGGTAAAGGTAAAAGTTCCCCTGCACATGCGTGCTAGTCATTTCCTCTAGGGGTGCTGCTCATCTCCATTTCTAAGCTGAAAAGGCAGCACTATCCAAAGATATCTCTGTGGTCATGTGGCCGGCATGACTAAATGCCGAAGGCTCACGGAGTGCTGTTACCTTCCCACCAAAGTGGTCCCTATTTTTCTACTTGGATTTTTTACATGCTTTCAAACTGGTAGGTTGGCAGAAGCTGGGACAAGTAACGGGAGAGCTGACTCCATTACGTGGCGCTAGGGATTTGAACCATTGAGCTGCCGATTTTCTGATCGACAAGCTCAGTGTGTTAGTCACTGAGCCACTGCTTCTCTTATGAATGACAGTAGTGATATACTATTGAGGAGAGTGAGCCCAGCAATTCATTTTACACTTATAACCAGGTTCCAGTTGTTTGGTACTATAATACTGGTATCCACAAGGAATGTTTTTTTTTTTTTTGCTAATCACAGTGTTGAGTAAGCAGTATTACTATAAAAACTATTAAAACTCAGCCCCAATATTGATATCAGAGAACTAAAAGGGGACTGTGTTGTGTTCTGGGAGCAGTGTGAAGCAAGATTTGAGGTTCCATGCTGGGCTGTCAGAGAGAAGATGGAACTGATGCTCTTGATAGAGGAAGGTCCATCTTACAGAAGAGGATGAGTGCTGCATTCCAGCTATTGTGAATATTAGAACAGAATCTTATTCAAAAGATCAACGTATGCGCTTCTTTCTGTCACTGGAAAAAAATGACAGCAGTGATAAATAAACTAGACTAGAGAAATTAGTCACATTTCTAACCAGCATTGGAGAACCTCTGATGTGATTTAGAAAACCATGGGTTATGAAGACTAAAAGAGATTTTTGAAGAGTAAAAAATAAAAAGAGAGACCAATTGCCACCACAGTAGCAAAATTAGGATTGTTAGAAAAAGAACAATTCGTAAAAAAAGTCTTACAAACATACTCTATGTAGGAGAAATAGAATCAACGTTTGAGTACAGATGCAATGACAAAAAATATCCTGATATTATTAGGACTAGTAGTACAAAGAAAACATACAAAATGCTTAAATTTTCACTTGTATACTGTTTATAGTTAGGTCAATTTAGCTGAAGAGCCTCACTCCAGTAGCAGAGATGGGAAGAGATGTTACAACCATTTGTTTGCACTAGGACAATTAAAATTAGATAATAGTAGAAACAATCCCAAAAGCAGATTGGAATTGTCCTGCAAAAACAATTAATTAGAAACCTAAAGGAGGAATCTGGTGTATAAAATACCTATGAAATTACAAATGAAGATAAATATATATATACTTTAGCTGATGAGTTTAGATACTTTTGCTGAGATGACCTGAAAATCCTAAGAAACAATATGCTGTTCCAACCATTAATCTGTAGTGTTACATTGATAAATAGGCCAATATTTCCATAGCTCAAGTAAAATATTTATGTTATTAATAAATTTTGTTTCTACTACTACTATTAATTTTATTTATATCACAGTCCTTGCCTATTTGTCTCAGGTGGCAGCTCCTGGCTGACCTTGATAAGGCTTGGAAGCTAAGCAGTGATTAGTATTTGGATGGGAGACACCCAGCAATGCTAGGACTGGTGGCTAGCATGGGAAGCTCAACTAAAATATCAAAGCAGTTATATATTGTCTCCATCCAGGAAAATCACACTGATGAGTCCTCAAGGTTCCCAAGGTCATGGACAACATGTAAGAAGAAGCTTCTTTATGCATATTTATTTTCTAAGACATAATCCCATTGACTCTAAATGAATCTGTGCAGGATTGTAGTTTAGATTTGTCTTTTATCAGTGATCTGTATATAAATCAATTAATTTTGTTACTATTGAATCTATACCCTATCCATTGGAGCACAGGTTCCCAACATTCAGAATTCTGAGATGTCATGAGGATTTTTCTACAATAGCTGTTATGGAAGGATGTGAACATTTATAATATACCCATTTCCTAGAGAGAAAACCAGTTAAGTCAGGGGTCTCCAAACTTGGCAAGTTTAAGACTTGTGGACTTCAACTCCCAGAATTCTCCAGCCAGTTTGGAGACCCCTGGGTTAAGTTCTCCTTCTGGCATCCCTTCCCACAGATGCTTTCTGCTTTCTCACCTTATTAATATTTTCTTATGGCAAAGGGGACATTTCCAGATAAAATACTAGACTGCAGCTATCATTCTGATTTCTAAAAATGTCTGAGGATTCTGTACGAATCTGGTACTTTGCCTGTCTTTGTTTACCATTTACAGTAATTTCTTTTCTTAATTAAAGATCATATATTTTTTTTAAAAAAATCAAATGGAAATTCATTATGACACGAGAAGAATGCTGGCACCATTTTATGGACTCAGGAACATTACTTTTTCCACTTCTTGTAATCTCCATCCATAATGATGTAGCTTGTGTGGTAGTCAAACTCAAGGCCCAGGGACTGGATTTGGCCTGCAGGGTGCTTAGATCTGGCCTGTAGGCCCATCCTGGAAACAGTGAAGAACCGGTCCATGCTGCTTCTGCCAGTGGGCTCCCGGGCTCCGTTTTGGGCTGCAACGGCCTCCTGCAACCCACCGCCAGTGAAAATGGAGCTCAGCGAGCTCCGAGGTCTGCAAGAGGCCGTCGTGGCCCAATACAGAGCCTCGATGAGTGACACTGAGCTGGCCACATCCATCCTAGCCATGCCCCTCCAGCCCCTCAAGGTCAAACACAACCCTGATGTGACCCTCAATGAAATTGAATTTGACACCTCTGGACTAGAAGGCCTCTATAGACCCCTTCTACTTTTTATTCTGTTATTCTGTTAAAGTGTATGAAGATGTAATCAAAAAGATAGTTCAGCTTTGTTCCAGCTGGTTCTGAAAGGCTCCTGCTTAAGCAGGAACTCTATACCATTTCAGACAAATGGTTGTCCAATCTCTTCTTAAAAACCTCCAGTGTTGGAGCACCCACAACTTCTGATACCGCATACATACATACATACATACATACATGCATACATACATACATACATAATCTATCTAAATTAAATATTTAATTTAGCCCTTGCTAAATAAAAAAAACATAACATGTAAAAATGCTTATTTCAGTTAAGATTTCCAACAGTACTCTATCCTAATCCTGTTAATATTGCTTATCTTAGTATTGTCTGCTCCAAAGAAGAAAAGTTGAATTCTGAAAAATTTAATGCCAGCATCGTATAATACAGTATGTGAAAGAATGACAAATCTTTTGATGCTGATATTGCTAAGCCTGAACTATTTTACTTCAACTGAAGTAAGCACAACTGAAATAAATTGAAATTACTTTTGATTAAACAAATTTAAGATTTTTTTCAGTCATACAGGTGTATTGTACTTTCTTAAAGACCATGGCCTAGGTGAAAGCTGCAGGATACGGAGATTAGTGGAGATATCATTGCTGAAGAAGTGACCAACCAGGAAGGATGTGAAGGAAGTAAAATTAAATTGGCAATAAGTCAAATGTCTCTCTTTCTTCAAGTCTCTTACCTGAATGGGGTAAAATGAATAATTTTCAGCCTAGCTTTAGTGGTAACTGGTTTAATTTTAACAAAATTCCTGCCAAATACAGTGAAACAAAGGAATTTAAGGCAGTACAGCTTTCCTTTGAATGCTCTTGGTATACCCCAAAAAGACCATATGGCCAGA